GGAAATATGACCACTAAGGACCTGTTTTGGTTGTACTGTGTCCCTCAAATTCATATGTTCAAGTTCTAACCTCAGAATGTGACCTTATTTGGAAATAGGGTTGTTACAGAACTAATTAGTTAAGACAAGGTCATACTGGAGTAGGGTGGGACCTTAATCCTATTTGAGTAGTATCCTTATAAAAAAGGACACTTTGGACACAGACACACATAGAAAGAGATTATCACGTCAAGACGAAGGCAGAGATCCACAAGCCAAGGAGTTCCAAAGACCAGCAGACCAGCAGAACCCAGGAGAGAGGCCTGGGACAGTCTTCCTCAGAAGGAACTAGCACTATTGATGCTCTAATCTCAGACTTTGAGCCCTCACAGCTGTGAGACAATACATTTCCATTGTTTAAGCCACAGTTTGTGGTACATTGTTATGGCAGCCCTTGGACACTAATGTAGGCCCCATGGAACCATGGCATCTTTGATTTTGTTTACAAGTGGCTCACATAGTTGGTGAAGATGAAGCCCTCAACAAATATGTGTCGAATGAGCAATGGGACAGTGATGCCACAGGTCTGCTTCAAGTTGGGCAAGGAAGATGGGAAATAAATCATCATGAGCTTTAATTCTCACCAGGGCAGCAACCACATCATTTAATTTTCAGTTGCTGACACCGAACCTACTTTTCAACACACATTTGTTGAACTAAACTGAGTATCAGGCAGAGTAGGTAGCTTTACGTCAAGCTGGTAATGTTAGGTGGGGGAGCTCGAGTGGGCTGGTGCCCCCTGATGCGTTCATGAACTTAACCCACTGTCCCGATTTCACACTGTCAGCAGTCCCAGTGCCAAAAGATGACCGTGGTTCTGCGTTGTTACTTGAATTTGCTTTATTTAGATATATAGGTATACAGTATGTGATCTTTAAGATATATTTCTAGTACTATTAGCAGGTACAGATTTATTTTTACCTACAATCGGGTGGTTCAACATTCCTTCAAACTCATATTTGTTATTCTGTTGTTAAATTACTATGTTGCATTTCTAAAAAATCCACTTCAAGGCTGATATGAACACAAAACCATTCTTTCTTTAGAAGGACTGTTTGAAGCCACAGTAGGTATTCCTAATAGGTTGCCTTTCTTTCTTGGTTATTTCACAGCAGAGAAGAAAATAATGCTGTTGTTGTGGATTGAAATATCGTTTTAAATGTCATTGCTATTAAATGTCAAGGACATAGAACACCAAAATAGTAGTGGCAAAGATATAGGATAAAAGTAATGGGATCCAATATGATATTTTGAAATATGCCTACTCATGTGAATTCAGAATGAGTGTAATTGTCTGGACAACTCAGGTAAAAATTTTTTTCCCACCTGAAATACTTTTTTATAAAGAAAACATAAAAATATTTTAATGCCCGAAATTTTCAAATGTCTCTATGATCTGTCTGTGGTTGCTGGAAGGGGCCACATATTCCTTGCTTGCTCCCCTTTGAAAGGTGAGCTCTGGTCCTTCTGCTGTTGACCCTGGCAGACCAGAGTTGCTGAACCAGCCTGGAAGCTTCAGTCTGCTCTTCTGAGCTGTCTCCAAAGAAGACATGGGTAGCCCCAAGGCTACCATGCCAAGAGGAGACCCAAGGTAGCATGCAGAGAAGATGTGGGGAGAGGCAGAAGAAGAGTGGGAGGATGACCGATTGATCGAGGGAAAGAGAGAGCTGGCCAGGCCCCTCTTCCCATGTCTCCCAGCCCCCAGCTTTTTGAGTCACCCCAGCTGAGGCCCCAAACAATGTGGGGTGAAAGGCAAGCTGCCCTATTGTGTGGTGTCCAAACTCCTGACCCACGGATAAGTAAGCAATCATAATAAATTGTGGCTATAAGCCACTAACGTTTGGTGTAGTTTATGTCTTGGTAGGGAACTGGAACACTATCTTTTAAGTATAGATAGTTTCATGTTCTGTCTTATAACTTCCTAGGTGTTCTCTTTGTGGCATCCAATAATACCTCCAGTCTTCAAAATTAGAATTTCTTATTTAATCAATCTATATGCCTAGTACATACTGATTAATTAATTGTTAGTCATTAATCAACTGTTCAAACTAGTGTGCGGTGGACCTGAAGTAAAAGGTGCCGAAGTCCTATTTTGTGCACTTTTTTTCTCTTGGCATTGCATGCGCAATGAGGCTCACTAAGTTCGTTTTTTAAAAATTTGTGTCTCAGCTCACGGAGATTTTTAAAAATTAGTATTAGCAAAAAGTAGACTTCTTGTTAGCACCAACAGGATGTTAAAAACATTGCTGTTGGCCCTGGCTGATGTAACTCAGTGGATTGAGCATGGGCCTGCGAACCAGACAATCGCGGTTCAATTCCCAGTCAGGGCACATTCCTGGGGTGCAGACCAGTTCCCTGCAGGCCAATTCCCAGCAGGGGACACACGAAAAGCAACCATACATTGATGTTTCTCTCCCTCTCTCCTTCCCTTTCCCTCTAAAAGATAAATAAATAAAATCTTTAAAAAAATAACAAAAACATTTATAAAAAAAACATTGCTGTTGGCTTCTGAAAATATAATATAATATAATATAATATAATATAATATAATATAATATAATATAATATAATATAATATAATATGTGTTTTCATAACTACAATTACTAACTGGACTTTCTACCCTCCTTTGTGTGCCTACCAGAAACTATATAATATGCCTCACAATTAGTTGTTTGGCACATTTAAAATTTTTTCAATAAATACTATTTATTACCACCCCTCCCTTTTTTCTCTTTTTCTGCTATGACATATTTTTACTTTTGGAAATCTAAGGCCAGTTTAAAACCATAGTCGTACACACCTCTATTTGAACCATTGCAAAAGCAACTGTTTTTGTCGCTGTCAGTTGGAGAAATCAGAAGTGTAGTATATTGTTGGGAAGGAATTGGAAGTTTCCTCTAGTAATTTGCATTTAAAGGGCTTTTATTAGAAGCTTCCACAGGAAGGCAATTCATCTTCTTTTAAAAGAAAGAGGTTTAGCACATGAAATCAAATTGACTATAAAGATTCACTCTCTACCCCCAGAATTATGTCCGACATATGGTAACAACTGTTCAATGTGCCAACAAACTGGGTATTTGTTTTCATTGAGTTTAAACAAATTACAAACATCCACAGGAACATGTGAAAAAAAATTCTCTTTAGATGAAGTCAGTTGTGCTCCGTATGCTAAGGGTCCCTCTTATTAAACGAGCTCTCACGCTTTGACGAAACAAAGGGGTGAGGAAATTCTGCACCAGGCAAATTGCTGTAATTTCACTTGAATATGCATTAAGTGGTAGAAGAATACCCAATTACTCCATGCCTCTTAAAACGGTGTAATGAAGAGCTTACTTATACATGAACTGCATGTCTTATGTGAAGTTTACAGCCCTGATCTTCAACTGCGTTTATTTTCAATCACAAAACCACTAGAGGCTTCAGCACAAGTTATAACAGGGGACACTCACGAAGTCTGAGATTGGCATGTGGGCTACGCTAAGAGGCAGGTTTAAGTCTCCACAGCTTCCAAGGAGCTTTTTGGAGAGTGTGACTCAAACAATGCTACGAGTCACTCCAACATTCATACTCAGAAATGACTGTGAGACCTTTAGTAGGGACAGAAAGGATTTGGTGGGAATGCATCATAGTTCTTTAGGCCTCCTCAAATTTTGATTCTGCACTTCACAAGATAAACTGCGTTGAGACCCTGGGGAGAGATGGTTGTGGGGAACGTGTCAGGCTTTCAGTACAGAGGTCAGCATTTCACTCACTTCATCACCGATATGTTCAAAGGAGATTTATTGAGGCATTTCTCCCCAATTCTGAGATAAAACAATTGGCCCAAGTTCTTTCCTTTTAAACACCTCTTTGACCTGGAGAGCGACAATTCTCATTTATCTAGAGGCACTATTAGAATTGCTCTTGTTCTATGAGGTACATTTGGATGGTGCTATTTGTATTAGTTCTCTGGAGCAAAGCATTATATATAGTTGCAGGGCCATCTACAAAGTGACACAGGAAATTTGATTCACAGTGAGGGCAGCTGATATAACTCACTCTTTTTTTTCTCATCCTAAAATGGACAAGCTTTTGCCAACCTCTTCAAATAGTCTTTAAGCCCCTGCCTGAGTTAGTTCCTGCCTCTGTAGCCTGACTGATTGCTTGGCAGCGGCTACGTGGGTGGCTTCGGAGATGCATTGAGGGCTTTTATGTGGTTTTTTTGGGGAGTTGATGGGCTGTTTCAACTGCCTTGTCTTTACAGGTAGCATCTTAAATTTGACTGGCTTTGATGAACACATCTTTAGTCATCCTAGAGGGATATTTAGTGAACATTCCTTATGATATAAATACAAATTTGTCTTCTTTACCCAGCACGGAAAATTTTCTGTCTCAGAAAACTGAAAAAGACTTGGAAGACTTAGGTTGTGTCTCAGTTTAATGAAGAAGAAGCCAACAAAAACATCATCATCCTTACTGCATTCAAGTCCCTAAATGTTCTATGACTTACAAGATAAAAATAAAAAAGAAGACAAGACATTTATTTGCACCTGCCAGGTTACTTGACCTTGACCATGCACATCATTTACTGCAGAACACAGTAGATAATTCAGTCTGGCAAGCCAATAATTCCTTCAGCACGTATTGTGTTCTAGGCACTGTGTGAGGTCATCTGGTTACAAAAATGGCTAAAACATGTGTTGCAGGTTGGGTTCTCTCAAGAGCAGAAGCTGAGATGGATTTCAGAATGCAAAACTTTTTCACCCTGTGAAAACCCAGGAGGGTGACTCCTGTGAGGGAGAGATGAAAGAGGTGGCACTGAGCAGAGAGGGTCATCAGAACATGATGAAGACATGAGAGTGTCTCAGCCCAACAGGATATTCCAGAGCAGACTGCCCATTGGAGGAGGCCCATGTTATACCTCAGTGTTTGGCTGGGGGCCACCCCAAGAAGAGTCTGGCCTCTCTGACCATTGCCTTACCCAATCATGAGCCAGTGTCTTCTCTGAGGGAACCACCTCTGTCCTCTTGGTCAGCAAGGGGGTGCTGAGCAGCATGACTCCTTGTTTGCCACGCTCCACCACCTGTGCCACACGGATCCACTTCTCCATGATATTTGGAAACAGCTCCTCACAGGCTCTGGAAGACCTCACTTCCTGAGGGGAAACTTGGATGGAGGGAGCTAGTGAGACAGAACAGAGGCCCCATCTCTGCAGTTGCTCTCAAGGCCACAACTGTTCCCACCCTCTTCCTCCTCCACTCTCCATTCTAAATTCCTTTCAGCCTCAGCTACCCTCTCTGTTGGTCTTGGCAGTTTTTGTGAAGAGTCGACTTCCTATTAAACAGAAACTGCTCTGGCCAGGCTTGTTGCATCTCTCCATTCACGTGGGCAAAGCGTATGGAGAAGTACTCCTATTGGGTGACCTGGGTGCTGCACATGCTCCTCCTGTCTTTCGTGTGTTCCAGAAAGCTGTCTTCTCCTGCTGTTCCGAGTCAATTACTGCTAATAAAATGAGGACTCCCCTTCTTGCCCGCTGGTTCCTGAAAACAAAGATCCCAAAGTGCTCCGGGGGCAGCTGCAGCCTGTACTTACTTCAACGAGAGGCTTGCTGTGCCCCCTGGTGAGCACTTGCCCCTTCGGGAAGCAAGGGCCTCTCAGCCTGCAGAGCCCAATGGTGTCGTGGAGACAGGAATCTACAGAACACCCCAGTAAATCGCTGGGAATAATAGAAAGTGGGGCCAGTTCTACATCCATAACTTGCTTCCACACCGACATCTTCTACCTGATGGGAACACAGTGCCATAGAGAGGTCTCTGATTCAGTAAGTGTCAGGTGTCCCAGAGGATGGTGCTACATTCTCAGAAAAGTTACTTCTGAGCCAATGCTTCAGCTGTCCCTTTAGCAGGCTGCTTGTTACCCTAACCAGCCGGCAGCCAGGTGATGGACGTGGAGTAGCATGTGGTATGACTACTTGGTTGATGTTTTTGCATGGGCTCGTGTTTTCCCTCCTCTATTGAGAGAAGGTGGGTTCCCTGGTTGGATGTTATGTTATGTGGAACTCCCTATCTGTAGATCAGGCATTCCATAAATTCCCCGGTAATGATGCTTCCCTGTGGGCACAAAAGCTAAACCCATACCAGGAATACGTGTCTCCTGTGAGAAGAGAGAAAAAGCTGCTGGAATTTCCAAGGTATGAGATTCCCAATAAAGTCAGCTTGCTACCCGGTGGCTAGTTGGTCTTTTTGTGGAACACCCACATCAGGGGCTGGCTTAGCTTACTTAGATCTCCAGTGTTGGGAGCTTGGACAGTGGCATTAGACATGACTGGACATTACTAGCTCCATTGGCCTTGGTTGGTGGGAATCATGCTCTTGGGCCCACTCTTAACCTCTGTGTCAGCTGCTGTGGCCCATTTGCGCAGGTGCTTTGCCAGGCCTGTAGTAAACACAGATAAAAGCTAGCGAACATAAACTGGCCAACTTCTTTTGTCTCCTTGATTATCTACATACTTCACATGCAACTCTGGATACTTATCTCATTCCTCCACCTCAGAATTCCTTGCTTTGAAGATTAAATTCCAAGCTTTCAATCCTTTTGCTTTTGGGTCTCCAGGTAGCCAGACAAGCCACTTTCTATTCTAAGCCTCTATATATACTCCATCTCGGGCTGCTGCTTCTTCCATACCAGGTGCATGTGACCAAGTACACCACTCAGGAAATACTATACCCACTGAGGAGGTTTTTCCTTTGCAATTGTCTCTCAAGGTCACTCTGGAGTGGGGATGTAACACAGCAGCCATTCAGTGTTTGGCTTGCACATGCTGAACCGATTCATCTGTAAACTCAGCCTGGGCATTTCCCTCCTCTTCCCCTTGATCACACTGGACTCCCTTTCTCCTCCCTGATACAACCAGAGGTTTAATCTGGGGGTTAGATGCTGATGAAACTGTGATGGTTCACACGGGGGCCTGGGCTCCCTGCTTGTGCAAATCACTGTGCCCTCTGAGGATCAAGCTTGGATGCGTGCTTCCCTTTTATGATGGGCGGCTGCCGAGCCTTTGTGGCTTGAAGTTTGGCAGCTTCCATGGGCTCATGTTGTACAGTTTGAGGTGTCTAATCACTCCGGTACTCCTTGATCAATCATTCCATCTCCTACTGTGGCTCTGCAGTACACTAAGAGCCACTTTTCAAAAGCTGTGTATATACTTGTCCTTTGCAGATGGAATGGTACTGTCTGAACCCTGGGATTGGCGCTGGCATTCTCCCACTTGGGCTTGTCATAAACTCTTCCCTACATCTCCTTTTCTCACTGATTTCTCTAAAATCATGATGCTTGCTAGACTATATGGCCCAAGCAGCAGAGTGCTGCACGCTAGACCTGCTGCTGAGCCCTGTCTTGCTCTTAATCCCCCTCAAATATGGCAGCATTCTGCATTACCTTGTTAACAGAATGAAGTAGTGTTCCTAGGTGTGACATACGGTGCCCTGGAACCTAAAGAAGCTTAGAAAGTGTGATGCTGCCTTCTCTCAGTAGGAGATACTAGATACAGCAATTGCATTTAGAGGGAATAAATGGGTATTGAAAGCAGGGATGCATTGGCCCAGAGAAGGGGTGCCTTTTGCTAACACAGTTGTAATCCTTCCAAGCCTTTTTCAGTCTTGGCTCAATTACATCCTCCTCTATTTTTTCGTAACTTTAGAACACAAGCCTTTCCCCATGTGACAAAAAGCTGAGAAACATTTTGAAGCAGAAAATCGCTAGACCTGGGCACAACTGAATATAATAAATATGAGAGTGACGAGTCAAAAATAACTACAAGGTTTTAAGAGTGTTGTTACCAATATCACTGAAAGGGAGGGCAGGAGGGTCCTGGAGTGGGGTTGAATAGTGTCCCCTCCCCAAATTTATGTTCATCCAGAATCTCAGAATGTGACCTTATTTGGAAATAGAATCTCGAGATGAGGTTGTACTGACTGGATTTAGGGAGGGTCTGAAAGCCAATGACAGGTATCCTAATTAGAAGAGGGGAAACACACAGAGATGCCAAGAGGAAAAGGCCACGTGATGAGGGAGAGATTGGAGTGATTGGTCTGCAAGCCCCAAAGTGTCAAGGACTGTGGGAAATCATCAGAAGACAGGGCGGAGGGATGGAACGGATTCTTCCTCAGAACCTCCAGATGGAACCGGCGCAGCCGCCATCTGGTTTTCGGACTTCTACGTTACCACTGTTCTAAGCCACTAGGTTTGCAGGAGTTTGTTACGGCAGCTATGCAATACTTATTCAGATAATTTACCTGCAGTTTATTAAGAGTTTGCTCTGTTTACTCAGGTTGAACTGTGAAATTGTCAATATTTGACTATTCAACCTAATAGTCTATAAAGCTAACTTATTTAATTTTCTCCCTCTCCCTCACACACACAAAACCACTTTTGGGTGTATGTTGGCAACAATCTTTTCAATTCAGGTTTATTATCCTTATATCACAGACAAGGAAATTGAGAGACAGAGAGGCTAACTCATTTGCTCATGGTCTCATAAGTCAGTCAATAAGTCACCAAACTAGAAAACAAACTGAAAATTGTCAGGCCCTAAAGTCCATGCAGTCTACTTCTGAGATTCTCAAATTGTAAGGTGTTGAAAAATAACCTAATGATCTAGTTAGAATGTAGATAATTATTCAGTATGTCTGGGATAGGGCTTGAGATTCTGCATTTAAAAACATTTTTTATTGTTGTTTAATTACAATTGTTCCCATTCCCCCCACCCCCATTACTCTCTCCTGCCCTGTCCATCACCCACATACAATCCTCCTCCCATTATCCTCATCCATGGGTTCTTTATACATATTCCTTAACTTGACCTTCCCTTTTTTTTTTTAAGATTTATTTATTTATTTATCTTTAGAAGGGAAGGGAAGAAGGGAGAGAAATATCAATGTGTGGTTGCTTCTGGTACACCCCCTGCTGGGAACCGGCCCCTGCTGGGAACTGGCCCCTGCTGGGAACTGGCCTGCAACCCACGAATGTGCCCTGACTGGGAATCCAACTGCGATCGTCTGGTTCGCAGGCCCACACTCAATCCACTGAGCTACACCAGCCAGGGCTTGACCTTCCCTTTCTTTCCTGTTACCCACATCTCCTTGCCCTGAAATTCTGCATTTCTAAGAAGCTCCTTGATTATGCCAATGTTTTGATGTTCAGCCATGCTTCGAGTATTAAGTGAAAGCTTCCTACCTTTCTTGACATGTTATCATTGATAATGTGATTTCTTTTGGAGTCATAGTTGTGAGTTCTAGTCATATCCAGGCAAAGTCACAATGTACATGGTTGAAAATAAGGGGCTGGACTACTTTGGAGAAACGTATGTTGCAGGCATAGATTTAGAAGTTATTTGTGGGGGAAAAGGGGAGGGATTTACAGGAACTAGTATAAAGGACACATGGGCAACAACTAAGAGGGGTGGAAATGGGAGGGAGGTGGGTAGCACAGGGGGGTGGGCTGGGACAGAAAACTACTTGAACAATAATTAAATAAAAAAATTAAAAAGAAGTCATTCGCAAAGTGTAGATGGTAGAAAATGTGAATGAATGAGCTTACCGAGAGACAATTAATTCCATTTAAAAAAGGGTTCATAGTTCATTCCTTTCTGATGGGACTAATTAAAAAGAAAAGAAAACCCTCAGTATTCTCTGCATAATGATTAAATAATATTTTTATTCATAATGTACATTCTCAAAGCAGCATTTTAAAAGATCTTAAGTGGATGGGTTTAAATGCTACAAATTAATGTTGCCTCATGGTGAAGTCAATAAACTGACCCATGAGCCCAATTAATAAAATTCTTACAACTAGAGCTTTAAGTGGATGCTTTAACAGTACTTCTTTCACAATAAAGTTTCAGTTTAATGGAGCAATTGAAGAAACTGGGGAAAGGTTAAGGTACTCACATTTTCTATGGTCAAGAATGTATCTGAGCTCAACATTTTCCAGATAATCTGGGATGCTCCAAAGGTGTGGTGGCAACACCACATGCCAAGAAACAAGAAAGTGGAGGAGAAAAGTGTCTTTAATTAAAAAAAAACTTTCCTTGAGGATTTGCATAGAATTCTGGGATTGGTCTGTCTTATGAATCAGTAATGAAATTCACATTAGGCTCAGATCTACTACAAAGGATTTCTTTACTTCATTTGCAATATTTTAAGAGCTAATTTGCAACATCTGCCTAAGTAAACAGAACTTACTTGGAAAGTAGAGAAGCAAAACCATGTGTCTGAAAAATTGCACATAAGTAAATATAACACTTGATAGGTTAACTTAATCAAACCCAGATGGACATGTGAATCTGTAGAACCTCAGTAGTTTTCTTGCACACCATTTGAAAAGGCTATACTATTAAAGTCAAATAGAATCTTCAAGGCCAAGGAACCCTATAACTGAATATATGACTAAGAAAATAATAGATGGTTTCCATGACACTGTCTAAGTGCTTGCAGAGGCAGTTATTTGAGTGTCATGACTTACAGGTTCCTCAGAGGAAACTGGCCACGGTACCCTGGCTTCTGGCTGACATAGAATATTGTCACTGCAGAAAGGCCTGAATTGTTGAGTTGCGAGTAGTCTTTCTAGTGATCTTGTGCAAGCATCAAATATTTGACACTTTTTTAGATCCTGAAAGCCATTATTCACCTCTTACTACCTGATAGATTTGTTTATAAGCTTTAAGAAATATGCATTTATAGCCAAAGATATTTTTTATAGAATATATGTGTATACTCTGTTCAATAAATAAGGAGGTCAACGAATCTGGAGAACCAAGATGAGAATGATTTCCCTGTAAAAACTCTGGGGGAAATCCTTCCAGGTGATTGAATCATTCAATTCAAAGGGATCTTGATAATAGCTAAGTAACCTTGGGCAATTGGTGGGGTTCACTGACCTCCTTCTTGGTGTACTATATTGTAATTACTCAATGATAAAACAAATTATTGTAGAGAATTGTGATCTATTCAGTAGATATATTTGAATGCTTAAGCCTAATGATTATACAGATATAAGGAGAAGTAAGTTGCCCAGACTGCAATGAAGATATCCATGAAAACATCCAGGAAATCACAAAATTAATAGCCTTCCTCCAAGAAAGAGATAATATGTTATTTCTTTTTCTTCAACTAGAGTATATTCTCCTCCAATGTAAAAATTCCAACAAATGACAAAAAATCAAATAAATTTATAATGACTCTCCCAGTTGCATTCTGAAGGAATAGATTGAATTTTTCTAGATGATGGTAAATCTAGAAGCTATTATAAAGTGATTTATTGACTATCCCAATTTCACATACATTCCACAGTAATGTTTCTCTCAGTTACAAGGACTACAAGAAGCATAGTCTCTTAATAAAAACTTTTTGATAATTGTTTAAAAACCTATTAAATTCTTAAAATTGAGTAAGCATAAAACATTCTGTACTAAGACATTTTTTTGGCTTTCTGTTATAACTCCATGAAGAATCAAATTCGTTTCCACTTTGGCTAAATACTTCACCATTTGTGGTTGGAAGATGCCAAGCATTGTTTTAGTTATTTTCATTTAAGGATTAAAAGATAAATTGACCCTCTGTGAATACACATATTATACACAGTATGATTTTATTTCAACCTTTTTTTTTAAGTTCTCACATGTTTATTACTGAGCCAACATCCTGGAGCAGAAAAAAATTAACAAAGAGAAAAACTACTCCCCCAATAATGTCCCAATAAGACATGTCCTACTGTCCAGCTAGCAGAAATCTTTTTAGTGATATGGTAAGATGCAAGCAACCTGAATAGAGCATAAATATGTGAGCCACCTCATGTGTGACTTCTTATAGGCCCAGTTTGGTCCTTCTCCAGTGTCTCCTCTTGGAGTAGGACCTGATTGTATTACCAGTTTTCATCCAAATCCATTCAGGAGTGGGATGATTCTGCTTTTGTTTTGTGGCCAAGGACCTCTTGATCCTGAAAGTCTTGTGAAGAAGAGTCAACCACACGCAGAATAATGGTGGAGGAGAAAGGAGTCTTATTCCAATTTTTCAAGGTGACATTCTAAGTAAGGGGGACAAGCAAATTATCAATACCTGAGAGAGCGAGTCTTCCTTCCCAATCCATTGGACCCATTCACTCCTCCACTCAGCTAATTTGAGCTGACCCAGTGTCTTTTGTGTAACATATTGAATAGCAATCATATACTTACAGGTATTTCCCTCAGCAGAATATAAGCCCAGGGTAAGAACCAGGCAGTGGCAGATACAGAGTGTGGCTCAAATCCTTCTCTAAGAAAAGACTCACTGCAGTCACCTCTTTTAGGATCTAGATCAGCATTCGAGTCAAGTGTATCATTTTCTTGGGGAAGTGTACAGCGAATGACTGAGGAGAGCGGGATGGCTGAGCTCATACTCTCCTCTGGCAACCCTAGCTTATGACCACATAAAAAGGTGGCAAAAGGGCCTGGCCACCTGCGTGGCTCGTCTCTCAGTTCCATACTGGGGTTCTCGCTGGGTTGGCAGGGTTTTGTCACATCTACACTGTGGCCTGATATTTATCCTGCCAAATCTTGTGCCCATCCCCTTTCTTATACAAGTGTTCCTTCCCATAAACTTTTCACATCCCAGTGAAGCTCCCACCTGTTTTCTCAGGAATCTAACCTCTAACCATTGGTGTCAGAAGTGGTCCGAGAAAGCAGGCAGTAGGAGGGTGCACCAACCGGGCTACTCGCTCACCGCTTGAATGGTAATGAGGAACCAAGTCCTGGTGGCAGCTGGTGCACTGACAGCCTTGGGACAAGGTGGCGGGCCAGTTGATAAAATGTTCATGAGTAGTGAGCCAGGAAGTATCAGCAGAGTAAAATGCAATGGTCAATAAGGTGATTCAGGTAATTGGAATGTGTATGTGTGGCGGGGGACAGGGATGAGAAATACAATGATAGTGGAATTGTGTGTTTTTTCCCCAAATTACAGTGAAACTACAGATTGATAACAAAAAGCCAAGGGCAGTCAACAAGTTGTAAACTGAGCGTAAAAGCCAGAACATCTCTTTGGCAGCTTTCAAAGTTCACATCTCATGCAATGGGCTCACAGTAAAAGCTGAAGATCAAGTTTGGAGTTTGATGTTCTGACTGGACAAACTTCAAAGATGGTTGGAAATTCAACCAAGGTGGTCATGGCTCCAGCTGGGCAAACCCGAGTTCCTGACACATGAGATGAGGGCATCTGGGTGATGCTTTAATAAATTTTGACTCTCCAGCCTGTTCTGGACCTTTTGAATGTGCGGGAGGGGCTCACCCTCCTCAGTGCAGGCCAGCACACTTGAGTGTTGACTGAGCCTTGGAATGGCCCCCTGACAGCGCAGCTGATGTGGCAGCTCACAGGCAATTCTGTCTACCCTGATGGCTCCTCTTTCACCCTTTAATTACATTTGCATGTACATCACTTTTTGGGGGCTGAAATAATAACTTTTTGTTTTCTACATGTATGACTGTCAATATTGTTTTTTATGGAGCCAAATAATATAGTATTTTCTTTCATGATCTATTAGTTTTTCCTTTTTTTAATAGATTTTATTTATTTGTAGACAGAGGGGAAGGGAGGAAGAAAGAAAGGGAAAGAAACATCAATGCGTGGTTGCCTCTTGTGCACCCCCTACTGGGGACCTGGCCTGCAAACCAGGCATGTGCCCTGACTGGGAATCCAACCTGTAGCCCTTTGGTTCACAGGTTGGCACTCAGTCCACTGAGCCATACCAGCTGGGGCATAATCTGTTGGGTTTTTTTCTGGAGTTACTATCCAGCTCTTTTTACACAGATACACACATACCTTTATGGCAAATATACACTGTAATGCTTACCTTAGTCTTTCTGCAGAGACCTACCACCATTTATTCAAGTAAGCATATGTTGGGGAAAGAGATTGTGAGGTCTTATTGGACACAGAGTCCCAGTTGACACTGATATCCAGAGACACCAAACATCATCATGGCTTCCAAAGTAGACACATGAGAGGAGATCAGATAATAAATGAAGCTCTGGCCAAGGTATGGCTTATAATAAGGGTCCAGAGACCTACCAGGCAGTCATTTCTCTGGTCCCCAAGTATATAATTAGGATTGACATACTTGGTAGTTTGAATAACCTCCACATTGAGCCCTAGGCCTCATTCTCTCCTGAGTGCCAAGAGCTAGTGGTCTATCTACATAGTAATCCCACTTTCAAACATTGGACCCTTATCCCTATTTTTCACTATTCTTTTTACCCTTTGTGGTACCACATGCCTCCAAGTCCTTCAGAGCCTCTCAGAGCTTTGGCTTCTTTTAATCATGGGCCCCGTTCATAGGCACTTTAAACTGCAGTAACTACTCTTTGATTTATGTCTTCCCAAAATTTGTGTAACTCTCTCGCCAGCAATATTGGCCCTTGTGGTCTGTTCTGCTGGTGTGTGTTTGCTAACTTTAACATCCACTTGTTATCATTTTAGCACAGACTTGGGAGAGAAAATAGCTCCCAATCTGCCATAACTAAGAACTCAGTCTTTTTTTATATAGAACAATTACCTCTTTCTCAGCCTCACCAATTGATATCATCTGTTGTATATGTTCTATATGAATAATCATCTTAATCTAAATTTAAATTTTAATTTAATTTTTAAAAATTTACAAAACAACGTTGGAGAGTAGAAGTTAGCTGGAATCTAAAGGCTTTCACATTTGATTCAAACCTTGAAAGGTGAGTGATGAACAACAGCTGATGCATATGGAGAGCTTACTATGTGCCAGACACTATGCTAAGTGCTTTATGTCCACTCTGAAAGAGGAACTAGTATTAGCTCCGTTTTACAGAAGTGGAGGCAGAGGTTCAGAGAGATTATGTGTAACTGCCCTAATACTGCACAGCTAATTAACGATGAGGGGTAGATTGGAAGGCAAACAGTTTGCCTCCAAAGCCAGTGATCTTAGTTATCATGCTGTGCTACATGTCCCACAGTTTGAGAAGTGTCATTGTATTACCCATAACCACTCATCATGTGTCATTGGGTGGTATTCTTTTTCCTCCACTAGTCTTGTGAGCTCCTTGAGGTTATATACATATATGTCTCAATCTTTTAAAAATATTCACTGTTGTGGGATACCCACCCAAGAATATGTGTTCAGAAAAACACATGATACACATTGGCTACTGGTTTCAAACATTAGGAAGAAAAGCTATTTGAAGCAAACTATAGCATTGTGGGGATAGGAAAGAAAGGGACTTCTTAACTTTATTTTAGTGCTTCTGGGAAAGGGAGCAGGAGAGTTTTCTCTAAACTTGTGGAGAAATTTATTCTTAACTATGGTATTCTTAACTGGTACCTTTAAACAAATCCTCAAAGTCTGGCTGTGTATGAAGAGAGTCTTGCTATAACTAGCCATGAACTATGACCAAAAAGGACAGCTTTATATTTAAAGACTGTGGTGGTGGATGAGATGGGTAAGGAGGAGGAACCAGAGGGAAGTGAAGTTTGCAGTTCTGAAAATTACAGCCTGTGGCAGGATCACGCTCCCTCGCCAATCTCAGCCGGAGGGCAAGTCCACCAAAGGACTGTTACTCACGCTTGTATAATTAAGGTTGTATTTTTGGTGGAATAAAAAGGCTTACATTTTGGCTTGTATTCTCTTGATTAACAGTGATACCAACAAGCAATTTATTCCAAAGGGCAACTGCCAGGAGAGCCCCCACATGGGACTATAGTGACCCAACTTTAAAGTTGGGGGGAAAGCAAACAAAAAACCCAACTTAAAACCAAAAGCATTATGAGAAACCCAGAAATGAATATTGAGATACAAGTCCTTCTACCTTTGCCTTTGCCATGCAGAATTACTTCTTTACCTGTCAATAGCAAAGTATAGGGATGACATCAAGAAATCCTCTCCTTCGCTTTGCATATTGGGCCTTCAACAACCTGTAAGACTGCCCTCTCCATACACTTTTACAGGAGTTATATATCTCTTAGGGAATGTGGAAAGTATGTGGGTTTTTCTAAGATGTATGTTCCTGACCCGTAAATGAAAAGCTGAGAAACTGATCTTCGTTTGGCTATTGACTAAAGGAAGCTTAGTAGACTAACATATACATAGACGGGCAAAAGTTGGTTTATAGTTGTATCATGACCTTCTTTTGAGTTAATGAAGCTACTGTTATACTCATTACTTGCATTTCTTTTTCCACACGAACAACTGTAAACCTACTTTCATCCACCCCTGCATAGATAAATATCTTTTACCAACTTCCTTGGCATAAAGGGGACCCTGGCTATCGATTGGTCTCTTAGAACTCCAGTAGCCTCTGGTGCGTGGTGGTTAGGCCTGCAGAAATTCCTCAGCGAGTTCCTTGAAAGCAGGGCCCATGTATTGCTGCTGATCTAAGTCAATTTGGTCATACACAACGCCTTGATTTTTCCTGGAAGATAACAGTAGCCATTGAGAAGTTGAGGTGGATGAGAGTTAGTTCCTTCTCAACCTTGCTACTAGGTCAGAATGAGAGCAATTCTCAAAACAAATTCTGCCACATATGTAGACATTTATTAGCCATACATTGATTAGCAAGTAGGTCTAAAACTGCACAGTTCTGTAAATTTAATGAAGTCTCAGCTTTCTGTAATTTTATGTGCCCTGAAACCTACCTTGTCTGCTTCGAGACTGACACTACACTCCAGAGTGAGGAATTTTACTTCTGGGTTATTCACCAACCCGCCAGAAATCCTTGTCCCCAACAGCCAGACCTCAGACTATTCAGGAATCCAGCTTTGAGCTCTGCCTCCAAGGGCAAGGACTAAGTCTTTGTTTGCTTCTTATACCCTATTCATGCAAGAGTGGAGAGGATCTCTAAAATATTTATAACATATCCATGCATTGTGAATACTTTGTAAATACATTGTAAATCAATCTTAATTTTATTTGGGTATTTACTGCTTACTTCCCTGAGATTCATGTAACCATAAGTAGTATATAGAGATATATATGCATATACGACTGTGTGTGTGTGTGTGTCTCAGTTTGCTTCAGGCTCTTGCTCTTCCCATTTAATTACGTAGCACCCTGGCCCTTTTTCTGCATGGTACTTCTGCTCCTATATGCAATAGGGGTGACCCTCTTTTCAACAACGAAGTCCAATATCTAACATTCAACATTCGTCCTCCCAGTCAACCGTGTTAAAAACTAGAGGTTTGTTTCTGATATTCAGGATGCTAATTAGCAGGGTGTAAGTTGTTGGTCTTGAGGTACAGTAAATGGAATGAACCATAGTTGCCCATATATCATGGTCTCATCATCCCCGAGCTCATATATTATTATGATGCTATAGCTTAACCTCAGAATATTTTCAAGTGTATTACAGGCTATTTTAATGCTGTGGTTCAACAAACACAGCACCTGGCCTAGAAGAACCACTCAAAATTTGCTGCATTGAATCGGGTAGTTCGAAAAACTTGTAAGTTGGAATAGGGCTATGTCAACTGGATTAATTATTTCTATGTCGTTAGGATTCTAAGGTTTGATTATTGCAACTCATGGCTTTATTTTGATTTTCCAGTTCTCTTGGGGGCAATCTAGAGAAACCCTGGGTTGGCTGCAGGCCCCTGTGGGAGTTTGAGAAAGTTCAGTCACGCTTCCACTGAGCAGGCCACAGGAGGCCATGTAGCAGTAGGCTTTGTAAACAATCGCTTCGAAGTGACAGTTTACCTTGTAAATTAATGAGATTGTTCATATATTTGTAGGTAATATATTTAATTGTTTAAAAGGAACGGAACTTCCTTAGTGGTGAGACAGTATTTACCCTGAGAAACAG